TCACCTGCGCCTTACGCAAGCGCAAGTCTTCGTGTTAAAGTGAAGAATAATGTTCTTCTTTAATAACAGCTTGCACCACTCACATGCGAGTGTTCTGCATGGACCCGGCGGCCTCAGGTGGTATGGTGTCCCGGTACATGTGGTAAAAACCGTCCAGCACACATTTCAGACAAAGAGGAATCCATTTTATCAAAACAAGCTAACTGACGATTTGTGAGAGCGTCATATAACGGCTCGCCCAGCGAGGGCACCGCGCCGCGTCACTCGCTGCTGACGCTCGCGCGTGTGACCTGGAGCCGCCCGTCTCCGGCCATCATCCGCGTCAGTCAGAGCGGGCACTCCGTCACGCTCGACCGCCCGGTCCGGTCTCGCATTCGAAGGCTCGGTGAACGCCCAGCTGGCCGATTTTCGGTCAAGGTCCTCCGCACGCGCGCGTAGCAGAGCTGGGCATTAGCACACAACGAGCCGTGAGACAGGACTTCCGACCGTGGGAACCCGCGCCACCGTCGGTGGCGAGCGGACCCGTGTTCGTAATGTAAACTTTACGGGTGTGATAGACCTTGTGCCGGCAAATGACGTCGGGCAACCAGGCGTAGCGTTTGAGTGAGTTGAAGCAATCCATTCTCTGTCAATTCATCGTCGTATTCGGTTCTCACTTTTCTTGATCAAAGTGCGATTTAATCTGATAGGGACCGATGTTATGTTAAGCAGTTTCAGCTCCTTCATTCAGCATAGCAAGGAACAAACATGACAACCACTGCAAACTGCACGACAAGCGCTTGGTATGAAACATCGCTCAGATCCACAATAAAAAAACGCAGATGCCTGACGACCGCCAGGCCTACGAACATCTCGTCATTTCTTAGTACCTGAGGTGGGCAATCTACGCCTCAGCGGAAAGCAAAGTAACCTGTGTCAGTGACACAAAGTGACCTGTGTCAGTGACACTAGATCCGCCCGGTTTGTGTCCAGCCACCACTGCATGACATCAGGCTAACTTTGTCAGTAGATTAACCGACTGACAAAACGCGACCACATTGCTCTGCTTGCAGTTAGCTGAATAAGCAAATCATAAGGAGATAGATAACCGGCACAATCACACAAGCAGCAGGTACCAGGGATGGGATTCTCTCCAACAATTTTCGTTCGGTAAGACAGTAGTAATAGCCTTATTCCTCGAAAAAAACCAAAAGGAGATATAGATTCACTGATACAAAAAGGAGAGTGGAGATATAGATGCATTGATATTTAGGGAGCATGCCTTTATCGCAACGAATAGCGGAACGCATATCATTTGCTCTTACTATTCGTTTCGATAAAGGCACGTTGCAGAAATATCAACGCATCTATATCTTCATTCTCCTGGGTTTTCCACAAGGAACAAGGCCTTTACTACTGTTTTATCTAAGTGCATAATGCTTCTCGCAAATGCACTGAACAACTTACCTAAACTTCGTTCGGCTCCCATCTGTTTCTTGTCAGAGCTAGCGGTGGGGTGTTGCCAAGTGCTGACATGCTATCCATTACACAACGAGAGCCCAGCCATCTTCTGCCATCTGGCAACCGCCACACTGCTGCGTGGACTGCTCAGTCCGTCAGCAGCCATCCAGCTGCCGCAGGTCACGATCGCTTGGTATAAAGATCGCGATGGGCAGCAGATAGCAGAAATTTTACCAGCATTTCTTTTTCAGACCAAACGATTTATCTAAAAACTTCCAGCAGGCGCGGGCAGCAGACGAGCCAGCGGGTGGCGTAGCCGGGTCGGGCGTCCGCCGCCGGCCCGAGACGGCTATGTGTGTAGACCGGAGCGGCGGCGGGCGGCGGACGCCTGGCCCGTGTTAGCTTACAGATCGGACGAGTGGGCGGTGGATCGTGGGTTCCCTGGAGGCGATGGCCATATCTTGATATTCCTAGGAGAGGCGCTCAGATGCAAGCGATCCACTCATGCGCCAATCCACTCACCATATTATGTGCTGCTTAATATCCATGATAGAAAGTAAACATAAAATCAAATCAAAGACGGCCATTATGAGGTCAGCCCGCCCCGTGACCCCGCTGAGGAGCGGGCTTCCCAAGCTGCCATCCGTCAGATGCACAAATCCCCCCGATCTGACTCCTGACACGGGAGGATGAAAGCCGGCGATAGGGTCCATCGTGGTCTGGACTGGCAGGTACATGGCGAGTCGACCGGGCCCAGCGTGGGAGAGCGGCTGCTTTCCCCGCCGGAAACGACGCATGGCTGTTGGACGGTGGCGACGTGTTGCCCAGTGTCAACCGCTGCCTCGAGGCAGCTTTTGCTGGCCGCTTCCTGGCGGTAGTTTTGAAAGAGCTGCCCTGAGGTATTTAGTGAATGGTAGCTTGTAATGGGTTTATGGTTTGAAGCGCGGTAGAAATGTCTGCGAGTTTGAAGTGACCCAGTTATGGCTGACCCACGAGATATGAACAACAACAGGCTTATTATATGCACGCTAATGACGCGCTTTCCAGGGATGTTCACACTTAATGACAAGCAGGCCCGCAGCCTAAGAGAGCTTTAACGTCAAGTAATTAAAAATTGTTTAGGGTAAGCGATCACGTACACCTTTGTCATCATGGATTTCACCCTCATCAAATCCCCAGCGACGAGAGGCTTGGTTTTTAAAAAGTTGCACGTTCATGTTTACAAGATACTTGAGTGTAGGCTGATTGATCAGGTGACATTTCTGCAACCTTGCATTGGCAGCCCCATTCCCCCTCAATGACACGTTCGATTATCATGTTTTAAGTAAAGTTTTTCAAGGGACAGAAACGCCGATGGTCGTGCACCATAAGCCTTAATCTTAGTCCAGAATCTTAACGAGATGAGTCGAATTGACGAAGATTGACAGGGACAGAGAGACGGATCTATTGACGGAGACAGCAGAAAATCATGCTGGCAAGTGGGGGTCAACGCGAGCAGTCTCATGCAAAGTCTCACGCACGACGTGTGCAAAGCATGGATATAACCATTTTCAGATGTTTTTAAGGACTTGTGTCAGATCTCGGCTGCCGGAGTAAATATGCTCGTAAAACCAACTGTATAAAGCATGATAATGTACCGTCTTTAAACCAGCAAACGATCCCAACACCAACAGACCAATATGCGCGCCAGTGATAAACCGCAAAGTCAACAAGGTTTTCTTTGCCAGGACTGGCCTTGAACACACACTGAGGTCTAAACCGGGACAAGCCGGGCCCCGAAAGCCACCTGGGCACGTGACCCGGTCTGATGTGACCAATATTCACTAAAAATACTTGCGTTTTTGCCATGCGTCCGCCACAATCTCCTCGACTGCAAACTACTGAAAATTTATTCACTTCGCTGACTAAAATTGTCGGGCCTTGACGGCCCAAGGCCAGCTTATTACCCAGCCATCAAAACCAATAGCTCGGACACCAAGCTTCCGTCCATCCCCTGTCAATAAGCTCATAGGCTTGTGAAAGTAGGATATTACTGTGCTGATACCATGCTCTGATATCCTACTGGCATAGGCTTCTGAAAGTGGTAGCTCCATCATCAACGTGGTAACAATAGCGCTGTCTGTTATCACCTCAGGCCGTAACCGGCGTGCTACGTTACGGCCAATAGCCTTAAAGGATTTTATGACGCACGCCACTGCTACGGTCACAAACGTCGCGGCGCCTATTCTGTCACGCTGATCGTAGCGGAGAAACCGAATCACACGATGTGGCAAGTCCCAAGCCTGGGACCTCGCTGTAGTCAGGCGTTCTCTGACACCGAGCCCCACGTCCTCCAAGGTCACCTGAGAAGTCAGGCAACTCGACCATCTTTTGTCACACATCTACCCCCACCACCCACCACCCACCCCACCGCGCACAAACACAGACGCTGTAGGCCGTCTAGGAAAACAACAGCGTACGCACCGCAGCGCGAGCGGCTTTAAAACATACCAACTTACTACCGTTCGATACATGTATCGCTCCACATACCCTCCAATTTCCCTCTATTATGAATACTTTTTGCCCCCTCTCAGCGTAAGAGATAATAAGTCCACAGACCAACGATCGTTTTCCAGCTCGTTTCTTCAGCGGACTCGATACATGCATCACAATAAAAGACCTAGAAGTTCTACGTACGCTTGCCGCCACTCGCAGTTGCCAGCAATGAACACGCCTCTGCGCCATACTTCGTCACTATCAGACCGGCCAGATCCGTGACGATAACCGGCACGAACGGCTGGGGTCAACGGCCAGTGCTGACGCTCTTGTTGTTCGTTGTCTCACTAATTCGTGGCTTCATGCTCGCTCTGAATGGGCTTCCTAAATCTGCGGCTGACTTTTGCCCGTGAATGATGAGGTAGAGCGTCCGGGGGGGGGGGGGGGGGGGCACTCATCGCAACACGTCAGCCCCGCCTCGCCTGTATGCGTGTCCCACGGGGGCGTCTGGCCGTCAATAACACGCAGGAGTTTGGTGGACAAGGAGAGACCAAATTGACGTGCGCATGCCGCGAAGTGCAGCGGACAGCTCATGAAGATCAGGCTAATGACCACTGGCTTGATTGCTGTTCAGCTCTGGCCATTGTCAGCCATGCCAAGATGTCATGTCACCGTGTGTTATCACCATGCCACGTCACCGTATCATTCGCACGGAGCCCGTGAACGGGGTGAACCTGAAGGTTTTGCCTGGGTGCTTCAAACATATGCTGATGCGCGGACCAGTGACTGAACCACCCGCATGGACCATAACCTGCGCCCCCCCCCCCCCCGGCGGTGCGCACGGCGGCAGGACAGCGGTTCTTCACATACCGGACGGCGTCTGTCATTAACAACCTGCCTGGGGATGCTCGAAGACTGAATTCACCAAGTTTTAAGCGCACTGCCAGTTCCTTTTTAGTGCGATGAAGTTGTGTCATGCTGTTTATGTGTGTTTATGTTTATATAATTATGTCCCTATCACCTCCCGTCGTTTTTGTTTGACATCCTGTTTTATTTCTCAGCGTAATGGCACGTAATAGTCACGCATGTATGTAGAGTGTCAGTTGATGCCAAATACAAATCACCATCATCATCATGTCATGACACCTTTTCATGTCCGTGTACCATACTAACATGTCATATCACCATGCCATGCCACCATGTCATGTCATCATGATAAGTTATGCCATGTCATGCCATGCAACCATGCTACGTCACCATGCCATGCCACCATGCCATGCCACCATACCATGCCATGCAATTAACCGGCAAACACAGGTCCCCTTAGGAGCTAGAACATACCAGTATCCGCCTCTGGAAGCTCTGACCCGGCTTGCGCTGGGGCGCGAGCTGCCGTTTCCGCTTCGCACCGCACGCGCCAGAACAGACACACAGCACTCGAGCTCGGCTGCCTCGAAGTCCGGCAGCGCGTCACTCAGCTGCCGGCCGAGGTCACGCCAGACGGTGTCGTTGGGTGCCGCTCAGCGGTACGTCCCGCGGTACCCTGACGCTGTTGTTTCCGCACGCAGGGCGACACAAGCGACAGTATGGTCCGCCGCGCGCTTACAGCATCACCGAAGTCACCACTCGGCCGTCGCAGGGCGGCGGCGCCGACCCGGCGCCCACCCCCACCGGCGTGGCCAGCTATCAGGGCTACCCGATCCCGGCCGCCCCGCCCATCGAGGCCGTCGACCAGCAGCTGGTGGCGGGGGTGCAGGGCGGCGCGCCGCCCGCCGAAGAGCAGCAGCAGCCGGCCTACTCGCAGCCGCTGCCCGCCGAGGAGCAGCAGCAGCCGGCCTATTCGCAGCCGCCGCCCGCGCAGCCCGAGCCCACCGTCGCTCAGCCGCAGCCGACGTACTTCCAGGCGGAGACGCCGCAGCCGCAGCCGACGTACTCTCAGCCGGGTACTCAGGAGCCTCAGCCGACAGCTGCGGCGCCTCAGCCCACGTACTCCGAGCCCACAGTGCCGGCGCCTCAGCCCACGTACTCCGAGTCCACAGTGCCGGCGCCTCAGCCCACGTATTCTGAATCAATAGTTTCTGCATCTCAGCCCACAAGTTCTGCACCTGAGCCCACTTATTCTCAGCCTATAGTTCCTGCGCCTCAGCCTACTTATTCTCAGCCCACAGTTCCTGCACCTCAGCCCACTTATTCTCAGCCTACAGTTCCTGCGCCTCAGCCCACTTATTCTCAGCTCACAGTGCCTGCGCCTCAGCCCACTTATTCTCAGCCTACAGTTCCTGCGCCTCAGCCCACTAATTCTCAGCCCACAGTTCCTGCGCCTCAGCCCACTTATTCTCAGCCTACAGTTCCTGCGCCTCAGCCTACGGTTCCTGCGCCTCAGCCCACTTATTCCCAGCCTACAGTTCCTGCGCCTCAGCCCACTTACTCTCAGCCTACAGTTCCTGCGCCTCAGCCCACTTACTCTCAGCCTACAGTTCCTGCGCCTCAGCCCACTTATTCTCAGCCTACAGTTCCTGCGCCTCAGCCCACTTACTCTCAGCCTACAGTTCCTGCGCCTCAGCCTACATACTCTCAGTCTTCAGTCCCTGTGCCACAACCCTCCTACTCTCAGCCTGCTGTTTCAGCCCCACAGCCCACGCAGCCTCAGCCTGCCGTTCCTGCCCCGCAGCCCACATACAGTCAAGCTGGGCCAGCCGCTGCGCAGCTCCCCTCCTCGCAGCCGGCCGCTGCGCCCGCCCCTCAGCCGTCGCCAGCTGTTCCGCCCGCGCCGTCGGCCCAGGCGCCGGCCGCCGCCTCCGGGGCTTCTGCTCAGCTTCGGCCGCAGCCACTCGGAACTTACGGCGACGCCTTCTTCGGAGGTGAGCAGAACCACCGGCGAAGGGAGGGGGGGGGGGGGGAGGCAGCTAACATCGCTTAATACGAGATCGGGTGGCCGGTTGGATGCCCTTCGTTCGGGCGGGAGGTGGGGTCAGTTTGACCCCTCTGGGATCTCAGAGAAACTAAAAGAGATAGAGCCTTCAAATTCACAAGGTATGTTGGTCTGTACGCGAACTCACTTAGGGGAAAGTTTGAGTCTCCTTTATTATGACCTTCGGGCCAAGTAACGTCAAACATGGTTAAACTCCAAGTTGGTCCACAAAGTGTCCCCAGAACCTGATACCTGTTCTAAGCAAACGGTCACGTGCTCACTCAAGGTCCGTGACCTTTTTTGACGTTTCGAAGGTCATGGTGACCAAAATCATAGAATACTGCTTTGAGTTCTGCATTTGAATACGCGACAAAGATTAAGCTAGGCAGTATATTCCTAGAACGAAACGTTAACCTTGATCATTTTAGGTCAGTGACGTATTCTGGCCTACAAGAAGTCCATGGAAAATGCGTAATATAGTTATTGTTGTCAATAAATTCGAAGTCAGCACCAGAATCTACTCCAATCTCCCTAGAGTAATAAAACAGGTTGGTTTGACTTCGTTTTGACCTTCATATATGACCCTAGGTCAATGGAATTCGGTCATTCCATTCTTGCATTGCCTAAGAAAGCATCTCAAAGATGTGTAGCTTCGTCTAACATTCCGTTGCCCCATCAATTTGAACGATTCCCTTGGAATTGCCTTCGCTGAATCCATGGCCTGATTTGACCGTCCGTAGGTCAGCGATCTTGCAAAGTGCACCCAATTTTTGATACCACACGATCCGCTATTAAATTGTCTAAAGCTATGCAAAATTTAGCGCGGCTACACCGCGGCGTTCGGAAACCATTCCGGAAAAACAATCGGAGTGAGGGGATCAATTTGACCCCCACCCGAGCGTGCGGTGACCGACAAACGGTGACACAGAGTAAACATATCACTTTTCGCAGGCTTAAGATGCTCTTTCGACAGCGACGCAATCGACAATGACAATCAATTACGCAATCGCACAATTGCTACAATCGACAATCTTCAGCGAAAATCGACGTACCAAATCATATATCTCCGCAACGTAATGCCCATGTATGGGGTAGGGGGAGAGGGACAGCATCAAGCGATTGGCTGGGCATCCTAGCACCGCATTTTCCCTTGCCTGGGGTCACTTGAAGTCAAGTAGATACGAATATTTTTTGCAACAATACAGCGTCGTAGACGAGTCATCTGCTGCGTGGCACGATCATTCATACGAAATAACATCGAATGTTACAGTATTATTGACTTACAAAACATTATCTGCAGCGGTGGCAGCACCGGTCAAAATTAAATGAGGCGAACTGTTCAAAGGTGTGATAATTGCTTGGTGCATGGAAGCAGCGTTCCACAAAAGTGGTACTTCTAACCTTGTGAATAGTGCGAAAATAACTTAGGTCGTAAATACACAAAAACTTGTAGACGTACTAAACGTGCCAAAATACACATGTACATTAAACAAGACAATGCAACATTATATGCAAAACTATACCGTCAAAATGCAAGAAGGCTTTAACGTCACCAGGTACACTGTTCAGGGATAAGCACCTTTAAATTTAGGCAAATTAGTTACCGTAACTGGCTGGCGAGTCCCTCTAGTCCTTTACAACCAGCGTCACCGTAACTGGCTGGCGAGCCCCTCTAGTCCTTTACAACCAGCGTCACTGTAACTGGCTGGCGAGCCCCTGTAGTCCTTTACAACCAGCGTCACCGTAACTGGCTGGCGAGCCCCTCCAGTCCTTCACAACCAGCGTCACCGTAACTGGCTGGCGAGCCCCTCTAGTCCTTCACAACCAGCGTCATCATAACTTGCTGGCGAGCCACGTACAGCTGGTGCTGAACAAGTTGAAAGTGACGCCTTTCGCTGGACGGGTTCGTGTCGGGGTGCTTTACCACGCTAGCGGAGAGTGATGGCTTGGCATCTCCTGTTAGCTCGCTTCGCTCAGGGGTTTCACTGCATTGTCTGGCAGCCCTACATGATTCGTGCACGATGTAAGCCGTGCGTGACCGACGACATGCCAGGCTTCATAGAATGGAGCGTCCGCGGTGGCTGCAGCACGCGCCACCGTCGACTCAGGCACGCACGTGCAGATGGGGAGAGCCGCCCCGAACGCTTCATTTGGGGTTGAACTTGGAGCAGATCCTAAAAAAGTGTGGTAGTTTTCACGGCTCGTCAGATTTCGGTTCCTTTCACCTGACAAACTGTGTTATGACAAGCTTCTTCCCAGCAAAAATTGTTCAGATTTTCCTCAAAGTCCAGAAATGCTCATTTTGCCCAAGCACGTCCTTCATAGAGGAAGAGGCGGGGGTTTGCTCCACGGGGTCCTTGGGGGGAGGAGAGGGGGAGAGGGGAGGGGGAGGGGGGGAATCGGCGGTCCTGTGATTGGAAGCGCCGATGGTTGCCAAGGTTTATGCCAATGTATGTGCCGTGGTATGGTGCTCCGGCCGGGGGGTTTCAAGCATCGATGGCCTTTCTTTAGTGTTGGAGAACGTGGCTGATATGCTTCGAGGAGGTGGCTGCACACTTGGACCCAGGTGCCTATCTCTTTCCCTGGAGACGAGAGAACATGGACAGTGTCAAAAGCTTTAGCCGGCGTTGATCGTACCTTCGACGGAACGCTCTGAGCGCGAGACTCACCCAGCTTTCAGACACGTTTTTTCCGTTTTATTTTTTTGAGATCTGCCCAAGTCTGCCCGCACGTTCGGAATTTCGGTAGGTGCTCGCACTTAATTTAGCTTCGGCTGCTTAAATTGCGCTAATGCAACGATGATTCCCCGTGGTGCATTTGATGGGAACATTTTACGTCACGAAAAATGATAAATTTCACTCACTCCAAACGAGTTATTTGGGAATGTCCCATGATCCGGAATGACGCCATCTACCGTCACGGACCTGGCCGCCACCCTCCACTGCCGGCCCATGATTGGCTGGCTGTGACATCACGTGTACAACGCAACGGAGTTAAGTATTGCCTTTCGCGCAAGTGGCATTTCTGGCAGCTCTACAACAGCAAAACAGCTAGCATGGGTCCAGCTTGCCACTATCAATTATATCGCGGAACTTTCTGGCAAGCTTTCAAGGCGAAACGTTACCTTTCCGTTCAGTTGTTAACTGCTTCAACACAGGCCATTTCGAAAATGCTGGATATCACCGATGAGTCACTCTAGAGATACCACTTCCCGGAATTCGAGCGTCATACAAACCAAGGCCGGGGGACCAGATGTCTCAAAGACACCAAGCAGGCAGACAAACCAAGGCCGGGGGACCAGATGTCTCAAAGACACCAAGCAGACAGACAAACCAAGCCCGGGGGCCCAGATGTCTCAAAGACACCAAGCAGGCAGACAAACCAAGCCGGGGGCCCAGATGTCTCAAAGACACCCAAGCAGGCAGACAAACCAAGGCCGGGGGACCAGATGTCTCAAAGACACCTAGCAGGCAGACAAACCAAGGCCGGGGGACCAGATGTCTCGAAAACACCAAGCAGGCAGACAAAGCAAGGCCGGGGGACCAGATGTCTCAAAGACACCTAGCAGGCAGAAACTCATCCCTTCTAAGTTCCATGCCGACCAGCCAATGAAACAGGGCTCAGTCTGCTCGTGTGCCGGGATAGTGATGCAGTCATGTAGACAGCAGGCCAACAAAGAGCCGCAAGGGCCCAGTCGCTCCACGACGGTGCAGTCTTCCCCACTCAGCCTCAGTCTTGCATTCCGTTAGGCCCACAAACCCACAAACGGGTTTTACTCACTGAGGGCCACTTTCATTATGTTATGTATCATAATCTAACACATCAAATAACATTATTCAGCAAGGCCCACAAACAATGTACCTCGAGGCGTCTACTAGTCTGGGCAGGTTTCGGTCAGACTCGTATCTGATTGGCTGGCAGCAGGAGTTGTTGCCACAGACAAGAGTGGGTAGGTGAGGGGGGCATTCACGCTTTTCTGTCCACGTAATGCCAAAGGACACCGTGTTAAAAGTACAAATCCAAGCATAACCCCCGGCATTCCTGCTGCATAGCCCATAGCTCTTAAGGTGACTGCGCTCCACGCCTGCGGCCCGCGATCTAACGCTGCCGATGGTCCCCAGGTGAAGCCAGTGCGGCGCCGGGCCGGCAGCGCCAGCGGCCCGGGCCCCAGCCGCAGTACAGAGAGCCCGGTCTGGGCGTGCCTGGCGACGGTGGCTTCCTCATGCCCTGGAACGTGCCCTCCAACATCCAGATGGCGCTGCGGGACGGACTCCGACCCGGCTGGTAGGCCGGACTGGTCGAAGACGTCTCCGCCGGAGGCCGGGTGACAATGCGGCTGCAGATGGCGCCCTTGTCGGAAGATAGGTGGCAGCACTGCTAGAAAGCCACCGGCGCTGAGCGGTCAGATTGGCTGAAGATCATGACGGAAGCAGACAGCTTGCGCGCCCAGCTGCTGGAATGCTGAGACTGTATCACGTACTGTGTCTTAGATGTTGTAAGCTGTCTGCTGATGCGTGTGGAGCTGGCCACATGCCCGTGGCAGATTACCGGGTGCGGCGTTTAAGACGTTACTGAGCTTACCCTTAGAAGTCGCTGGTGAAAAAAGTTTGCGCAAGCTCCGATTATTAAATATGATGTAAGATAATGATTGTGCTAGTTAAGTTATGTGATCGATCAAAACCCACCAATTGAATCAGACCTTTGCTTTCATGGGGCTCAAAATAACGTACTTGTTCCCTACTTATTAGTCAACTACAAGAACAGATTGTACGAGCTCTGGTCCCCACCTGGAGTCACCGAACCCACGAAGGTGTGTGCCTTCGCCCCAATAGAATGCTCGGCCTGCACTGTGTGCCTTGGCGCCAATTAGTTCACAGCAAATAGTAGTATTGAAGACGGGATGCGTTTGTCGACACCACCTGACAAGCAGAGACCTCTGGTGGTTGTCTCCGTCACTCAACAGCTGTAGGCGGACACAGACCTCTGATGGCTGTGTCTCCGTTCTCCAGCAACAGTAGTCTCCACGTTGTCGTGTCGCAGTTCGCGCCCGCCGGCCGAGTGTCCGCAGTGTTTTTGCACCGCAGTGCTGACACGCATGTCCGTGTTCTCCAGTCCTCAAAGGCGCGTGATTCGGCGCCGTAGCCATGGGGTGCGCTTCTGTATCAGTGAAACTGCATGTCTGTAGCCCCGTGTACGCCAACAGCCGCGGCCATGTGACATGTGACATGTGCCATGTGTGTGCGGGAGCGTCAGGCTGCCCCCTCGCCTCCCCCTCCCCCATGGCTCCACCGCTCCCATGTCTCGCGGTGGCACGCGTACTTCGCTCAAGACGCAGCGTAACAACGTCCGCGCCGTATTCCGAATCGTCTCAAAACATCATACTTTGTGAGAGGTAGCTACAGCCGTTAGTGCAGTCGTGAGCCGCGGCGATGGTTCGTGACAGCGGCGTGGAATCCGCCGGGACCGGTCGGACCTGTGGACAATCAATCACGCTCGCCACATCCATTTATCTATAAATACATAGCGTAGTTACATCGTGTGTGTTACAGCTTAGTTACAGCGTAGTTTGAGCGTAGTTACGGCGCAGTTAAAGCGAATTCACAACGTCCCTACAGCGCAGTTATGGCGTTTCTTGCTGTCAGGCTCCTGACAACTCTTGCAGGTAGTTCCGACTAAACCCCTGACGAAAGGTCAACCGCAATGGACTCAGAGCGGTACAGGCCCGTCCAGCCACTCCAGTTCTTCCGGCACTGGTCAGTAAACTCAGTGGGCGGGACCTGCCACGCGGGAGGCCCATTCGGGTATGCATGTGCACTCACCAGTCTTGCTCTTGGGGAGAGAGGAATTAGACGACAGGTCGACAGAGATGCCCTGCTCTCGACATCAAGGTATATATGCCATACAACCATATTAGATGTGTACAACAAAACGAAACAACAATGCGGTTCTTGTGGGTTAGTTTCACAGGTTATATGGTAAAAGAATGGTCCGTGTCTGCCGGGTGGACAGCCAGCTGAATGGCCGCATCTGTCATCGGAGATGTCCCGCTCCTAGAGGATGGCCGCCGCTCTTGTCGCAGGGACACGAGATCGGTCCCGTGCTGCAGAATGACCCCTGATACAGTCCCGTCGCGACGCGACTGCTGGAATGAGCCGCTCTCCTCCGGACGTTTGATTTCAGATCGCTGCTCATTTGGAGCAGCTGCTAAGCGCAGTGTCCACACCCGCCGAGCTCAATGAATATGAATGCTTGTGTGGGTGACGGGGTGCGGTGGCGCTCGCGACTGCGCCGACAGACAGCTGCACGTGCACCTGGTGCCCCCCCCCCCCCCACGCCAAGCACACATGCGCGCAGGACTAGAAGCTGCTCGCCGCAGACGTCGCGCGCAATCGTCGAAGAACGGTGCCGCGCGGCTTCACTCCCGCGGCTGGCGTCCGCGCCGGAGAGACGCCGAGAGGCGCCCAGACGAACGCCAAGAGGAGCTCAGACATACACCACGGGCGCCCAGACAAACGCCAAGAGGCGCCCAGACATACACCACGGCGCCCAGACAAACGCCAAGAGTCGCCCCGAAAAAAACGCCGAAAGGCGCCCAGACGAAAGCCAAGAGACACCCAGACAAACGCCGAGATGCGCCCAGACAAACGCCGAAAGGCGCCCGGACAAACGCCAAAAGGTGCCCAGACAAACGCGAAGGGGCGCCCGGACAAACGCCAAGAGGCGCCCGGACAAACGCCGAGAGACGCCCAGCCAAACGCCGAGAGGCGCCCAGACAGACTCCAAGAGGCACCCGGAAGAACGCTAAGAGGCACCCAGATAAAAGCCAACAGGCACCCAGACAAACGCCAAGAGGCGCCCAGACAGACGCCAAGAGGCGCCCAGAAGAACGCTAAGAGGCACCCAGACAAAAGCCAAGAGGCGCCCAGACAAACGCAGGCGACTCGGGCTCGGTGCCAGAATTTGCAACGGCAGAGTCGTTGGGGATTTGATGAAGCACTGGTACAGCCAATCGAGGATTTTGAGGATCTCAAGACATTGAGCGCCTCAATCTCCCACCCCGAGTGCTGCAGAGGGCGAGAGAGTTGAACTGTTGGCCGGGAATCAGATTCGAACCCGACCCGTGGCGCGACACGTGGTTTGTACATGTACACACTGCCAACTGAGCTGCAGCAACCGATCCACTCATTGCAAACACCAAGATTGTTCGTCGCCTCACGGCTTCCATAAACACCATCTCCGACATCTGGTGGTTTTATTGAGAAAACGATATCTCGGCTTATTAGTGATCAACATCAGCACAGAGAACTCAGCAGACCCAGCGACAAAAAAGGCCAGCATTAGGGGCTTTGGATCTAAACGCAGCTTTTGACTGCTGCTGCCACATCCAGGTTCCGCCAGAGCGGGGCGTAGACTGACACGTGACAGCGCCTCGGAGTCCTGGCACCGCTGCGACCCGAGCTAACCGCCTTCTGGCTGGTGCAACAGACTTGCAACGACATGCGAAACGATATCGAGACATCTGTTGCGTCCTCATGCCGACCTGCATTAATCCGTTCCACAGTAATATGGGTCAAAGTGAGAATAAAGTGTATGGCAAACGCGACGGAAACGCACTGTTAGCTGATCCAAAAACGGCAGCAAGATCAGTGGGGTTATAACATTTTTAGTTGGCATTCTGATCTCAGGACGCATGCCGTGCCCCCCGGGGCGGACACATCGAACAGAAACACGTGCTGGTAGTCTTCTCGACTCAGCCATCCACCTCCCATTAGCCACGGGTTGCAGTATGGGCTACTTACTAGTGTGGTGAAACGCCGTGCCAAAAGGACCACGAGGCGTTTGGATTACGCGTTTGGAAAGGCTTAAACAAAAGAAAACGACTTTTCCAACGGAAAAAAGGCGCGGAAGGAGCTATGGCTCGTGAGATTTAGCTGGCGCGAGCTACTCATCGATGGATTTTGACCGAAGACGACACTAACGCGCGCACTAATGTGACGCAACATTCGTGAGGGGCCAAGGCGAAAGCTACGCCGCTGAAAGGTAGTAACGTGTGCTGGCCAAACACCGTCGATTTCCGCTCACTGGAACAACAAGTACCTACGATTGACCACACCTAGCTGACGCTGATCTTTTGCTTCGTCTTTATCAATTCCCGCAGGTTGTTTTCGGACTCCTTGAGGCTCTTCTCCAGGTACTGTTTATTGCTCTGAAACGCACATGGTTAATGACAGCGTGTATCAAAGCAGTCGAAGTGATATCGAGCTTTACCAAGCCATTCCACAGCCGCTTTAACACGCGCCCAGGTGGACGGTTGGATACCCTTCGCACGGGTGGGGATGGGGGTCACTTTGCCCCCCTCCCGAGATCTCAGGAACTAAGAGAACTGGAGACAACAAATTCACAGGGTGTGTTGACCTGTACGTGAACTCACTTAGGGCAAAGTATGGGGGTCCTGGGTCATAACCTTCGGGTCAAATAAGGTCAAACAACGTCAAATGCCAAGTTGGCTGGTTGGCATATTCCATTCCATCCTGCCAAATTCCAGGAGACACATTGGCACTGATCCGCTATTCGGTCCGGCTTGAAAGTGTCTGAACCTGAGCTTCTAGGCCTGAGCGTCCGAGCCTGAGCATCTGGACCTGAGCATCTGAACCTGAGATTCTAAGCCTGAGTGTCTGAGCCTGAGCATCTCAACCGAGCAGCTGAACCTGAGCTTCTAGGCCTGAACGTCTAAGCCTGAGCATCTAAACCTGAGCATCTGAACCTGAACATCTGAACCTGAGTATCTGAACCCGAGCATCTGAGCCTGAGCATTTGAACTTGAGCATCTGAATCTGAGTATCTGAACCCGAGCATCTGAGCCTGAGCAACTGAACCTGGGTGTCTGAACCTGAGTATCTGAACCTGAGCATCTGAACCTGAGTGTCTGAGCCTGGGCATCTGAACCTGAGCATCTGAACCTGAACATCTGAACCTGAGCATCTGAACCCGAGCATCTGAGCCTGAGCGCCTGAGCAAACACATGTACCAATTTCTAGCCTTCTCTTAGAATGAGCAGAACTCAATGATTAACAACACAGTGGCTCAACCACGATGAATCTCGTGTTAATGCAATATTTTGACGAATTCTGTCTATTCTGATGGTAGCAGTAGGACTCATAACTAAAATAACCATGGCACATATTTGACACCCCACTGGCCCAAAAAAATGGCAAACAAGGGAAGAACTTTGCGGTATTATTTTCGTGAGGTCTAAGCAAAGAACAGCAGACAAAACCAATCCACCAGCGGATTGTACCACAAACTCCTATATAGGGAACAACTTTTCTCTTGGATGGCCAAGGTTATTTTTCATTTTTCGCTTGGCATTAATGTGATCTTCCATACAATTGGGGAGTGCTGCTCAAGTCACAAAAAGCCATTCACACCTCTTTCCCACTATGAAACTTAGCTGACCGGATAATTTGTCCTGTATCTGCTGTGCAAGCATGGCACCAATGGGATCCTCAGCATACCAACCAATGCATAGCCGTGTGCGACCTCTCAATCCAAATCGTACAGTAATTATGGCTGAATTAGATCCAACAACTTGATATGTAACACAAAGCACCGACTATTAATGCAAAAACTATCTGGTGCGACCAAACATGGAGACATGCGATGCATACAGCCGACGACATTTTGCCACCCGCTCACCTCCAGCTTGGCAATTTTCTCCTTGTGCGACACTTGCTTTTTCTCGAGGTTTTTCCGCACACTCTGGACGTCATTCCTGATGAACATTCGCCCAATACCGTCGTACACTCGCGTCTCATCTGGAACAGCCTGTGGATCACAAAACGACGTGACGTCACAGCGTATCAGAGGCTGGCATGCACCCAGTCAACTATCTGCACCAGGGGTAGCATCTCTGTCACTGACCTCGTGGTGAGGAACCTGAGCCTTCTGACTTCTGATCATGCAGACAACCTTAGTAACATTTTTGTTGATCTGATAAAACAATAAGCCCTAATGCATAGAAAATTCTGCTGGCAGTCCTGAGGCACTGGCTGTAGGTGTTACCTGAATTTCCTTATCTGTCAGCTGAGCATGCATGATCTGCCTCTTCAGAGTCTCGATCTGCATGTCTGACAGGCGGATGGACTGGTTGGTGTTCTGCATCTTCTGCTGCAGTTCCATGAATGCCTGATGACAAAACACATGTAAGTCAGTAACACCAACATTCAACTGAGCTTCCATGCTGGTTGAGACCCATGGCTTTGATGTGGTCTGATGTCGAGACCTTTGCTGTTCATGTTGAGCAGTGCCTAGAAACTGATGTTTGTTAAATGTTTTTGTACTTCAAGGAATTTTACAATCCTGGATTTTGACTAGCCTGAATCTATGTTGTTGGACTCACACTATACCTTCTGGTTAATTGTACTGGGGTACAGACATTCACAATGGACAGGCAATTGTGACTTGTGACTGGGCAATTGGCCCAGTCACAATGCTGGAACACAAGGTGTCTGAGAATATGATATCAGGCACCAGATTTCGGCAGGAATATCAACTGTACACCATACTTTTTGACTGATGTCTCAACAAGCACCGCACCATGCTTTTAGGGCAACCAGGTGCCATCATCTATTCTCCCAAAGCCCAATAATTCAGAACAGGTTAAAGGTTTTCTTTGAATTAAAAAAAAGGAGATTACTTTTAAGTTTCATTATCAACAGCTACAACATATGAATCTGGGCCCTGTGGTCACAATTTATTTCCCATCCTTCCACCTGCATTATGAAAGGCAAACCCTTTCATGTTTTCTTCCCCAGTTGCATTCTCCCATTCATCTTAACAAAGATCTTACCCACACCCCACACCTTAGCTAGTCATTGGACTCCAGGGCTGTATGAACTGCAATGGTTATTTGAGACGCGCACAAACCTAGCATAATGAAAAGCAGATATGATAACTGGCACAAATGACCATTCATGACCTTTAAAATAAACAATCATACAGACAAATCACTACAAATGGTAGCAGACATGGGATTGGAGCCTCTCACACATTGAAAAATGTGATAGTGGTTAAGTGGGAAAATACTGTAAGCATGCAAATAAATGATCACAATAGTGCATAAATTAAAGAAATATGCATGTGTATATCAGTCTCACAAAACATACTTGATACAAATTTTACCATTCAATTCTAAGAAAGGACAACATTGATTATTTAAAATTGGTTAAAATAAAATACTAACCACAATTTTTACATATCACATTAACCAGCATACAGATAAAATACCATAGCATCTGTTTTCTTGAAAATTCAAACATGGTTCACTTGTCAACTGATACAAATTATAACAATGCTATGCTAGGTAATGCCTAACACAGAATACCTTTGCATGCTAGTTCAACTGCCTATAAACTATTTTTAAAGCTACCACAACAAGTTGCAAAAATGCTTTCCGAGCATGAACCTGAAAACTGGTAAGAAGGAGTAGGTTTCATTCATGATAAAAGTGAAAAGTATTTTCTTTTCTTCTATAAGCAGACTGGAATTTTACTGAAAACTAATGGGGAGCAAGGTTTTTAAAAATGTAACTGGAATGCATTTTTTCTCATGCAATGAGCTCTAGGACTTGAAACTTCAAATTTATATGCCATGTTTTTAAATACAACTGCCACATGTAATTCTTCAGTAAAATTCACATCAACTTCAGCCAGTGTTTCAATATTCAAGCACTTGCATGTTGGGAATGTGATATTTTATATTATAAAGCCACAATCATGGGGTTCACTGACTTTGGCCATTCCCCAAGCTTAAAATCAGATGAACAGCATCAAACTGGGTAGCAGTCAACCCACCAACTAAGCATGTCAGGCTTGACAAATGAGCCATGCTTCTGGATTAACAGGAAAAGGGCAGCATATCAACTAAAAAATTGTGTGGGCACTGCTAGTAAGACAGGATTCTAGTACCGCAAATATATATATATATATATATATATATATATATATGTATAAACATATATATATACATATATGTATAAACATATATATATATATATATATATACACATATTTGAATTCTGGACACCCCACAGGATGAATTCTTGTACTGTTTTTGCCTAATGATTGCTAGTGCAAAGTATTACTGCACTGGTGACACAATGAAAAAAACTAACTGAGGAACACAGTGATCGACAATTAACAAATAAAACAATTTATAAAACTCGAGCACGTCAACCGACTAACTCGAAAATTCTACGCCCCAATGTACCCCACTGATACCAACAATTCAGCAGGCACCACGCAATCAGCTTCTCCCACCAACCTTCTTCAGCTCCATGTCCGGTTCCCTCGACGCCCCTGACATGCTTATGATATTTGTAGAAACAACGTATAATGCAGCGATAATCTCCTAGTACGCTATATCCGGCAAGAATAACGAGTCAAGAGCGATCGAACGAGCAGGCATTTACTCCAACACACGTATCTGCGTGGGCCCTCCCGACAACGCAAACGTACAAATGTGACGCGGGTCATACAGTTGATTATGACCAAGCCCAAGCATGCGGCACTAAAAGGCAGGCACATGGAGTTGCATCCACTGTATTATAAATCGATGTCGCTGCTCTGTTAGAAACCTTCATTATTAATTTCAAAAATTTAAAGGCAGTAAATGCTTGCTTAAATTAACTCACATAAACTCAAGCTTTCAAACAGGCTGGTAGCCAACATTTATACCGGAGGCAAACACTTAAATTTTGTTCTAGATCCTGCGAATTTGGATCATAATCAATCACAATCTGTTGCCTTGCCCTGGGGGGACAGGCAACATACTTCCAATTACTTCTCAGTGCGGTTAGCTCGGCGAGGAATAACCCCAAGAGTGAATTAAGCGAAATCGAACTTCAGGAACGCCAACATGTCGCAAGCTTCACGGATATCCCCATACTTTTTTACTATGGCCCAGACATGGCATGTTCGATGAACACGATACTTGCAGTATACGGTTCGAATCATCTTCGGGATGGGTATTTTCGTGATTCCTGCTCAGGCAATATAGTATTTCTTCCGAACCTTATTTTGTAGCATCGTTCTTTTCTGGGCCGAGGTCACCATGTTTTACACAAGATTCCCGAGCTGGGGCTCCAGCCTGGTAAAAAGCCATCCACGTGGTCGCCGATGGCATCGGTGTGCTGTATCTGGCGGGCGTTTGCACCTTGCTCGTGCCAGGCCGAGTTGTGAAATCTTCAAGGTATTTTGCTTTAAAAGCGAATTTTGGTGACGTTTTTGCTTAGAATTTCTACTGCAACATGACACCAATTTATTTACTGCCGTCGTACATTCCTGATAGAGGCTGCGTTCCATAAGCATGCGTGATGGTGATCTTTTGTATTATGATATGCACACGAACACAGGTACTCTGTCCAAACAATAACTATCTGCATCAAAATCAGTGACAACTCTGTGGACAATCTGTGGGTTTCAAACTTGAAGCATACATGTGATAAAGTGAGGATATGTCACTGATACACGGTATGTGTAATGTGATGTAAAGCAGCCCTTCATCAAGCTTTCTTCGGTTAAGTATATGCACCTAACCACCTAACACTAGGTAATCTGTAAATCAGACATTCTGCATCCAAAGTTGACAATGCTAGCAGCCAGTGACACATTAGTCCTGGAATCACTGTAGCAGGTCAAGTTGCTTGATTCAGAGCATTTGAAACAGATCAACCTTAAGAAATATTTTAAACACAAACGTCAGCAAAAATTGAAAGAGCATGAAAGGTATAGAATGAAGTGAATTAAGCAGACATTTTGCTTTGATAAAGCTTCCTGTAATTAATAATTATGGTAAACCCTTCTATATTTCAAGGACCTTTTACTTCTGATTTGAAATGTGCAGCCAAGATGGTGGCATGCATTCTGATATTTTGAATTTTTTGTATAAGTGCAGATGTGTAACACATCCAGCTTTTTGTGATCCTTGTTCATTCCTCTACCTACCTAGGTACCATTTCAGTGAGTTGATTCAATTGCCATCCCTTCAAAGCACATGCAGTATGTTATCCTGAATGCTATGCTTACATTTTTTATGACCAGTGTTTGAGTCTCATTCTCGCTTTCCTGTCAATCTACCCTGGAGTGGTTGGCAGCTAGCAGTGGGAAAGGGTATATTGACTGGTGCCTGCCACATTCATCCCATAAGATTGAGCAAGCTGTATGAAGTATGGCAATTTTCTCCTTCCAAAAGGTGCAGTTGGTCACCAAACTGATGATTTTATTGCACTGCATAACAGTTTAGGTGAAGGAAACTGACTTGTGTATTCTGCAACTGAAAACACGTTATGTCAAATCAGCAGCACTTCTAATGCATGGAAGTCACTTGATGTCATCTATGGGCTGCACTTTTTACAAGGAAAAAATGTAACAGAGTGGATGGACCACATGATACCAGATAGGGCCAGACTGAACCAAGCAGGACCAGGTATGACTGGACAGGGTCTGGCATCATCAAATCATACCCATATGGAACTGTATGGGAAAAATGGGCCAATTGGACCAGACAAAACCAGATGGGACAAGATGGGACAGAAGGGACGGGGTGGAACTTGCGGTATCGTGCGGGACTGGGCGGAACAGTACGCGGCAGGACGGTATCAGACGGACTGGACGCAAATGGAGGGAACTGGACGTGACAGGGTGGGACGAGATCGGACGGATCGGATCGGACGGACGGATCGGACGGATCGGACGGAACAAGACACAATCCTTTCGGGGCCCCGTCTTGTCACGTCCTGTCTTGTCTAGGTTCATTAAGATTCACCCGGTCCCACGCGGTCCCACGCCGACGCACTCATTCTCACCCGTTCCTGTTCAGTCACGCCCGATTCCGCCTGGTCGTGCCTTGCCCCATCTGCCAAGTCTTTTCAATGTTTTTCTTTCAGTTCCTAGGGTGTGCTAATTAGTTGTGGGGGCATTATGGCAGACTGGAGGAAGTGATGCAAATCACAAACACAAACACAAACACAAAACACAAACACAAACCTCTTTATGCCTTTTCGTGTAATGAACGCCATGCACACTATACCTGCATCAGCTGGTGTATTCCGACAGCCGGCGTAGCACGGCTGACACTGTCATGACTCAGATTTCACGCAAAATTGGTAGCACGAGAGGGGGGGGGGGTTATCTCAGGTGCAGAGTTCATCTGGTACAGTTCCAGCTCCCTCTAGTCTATGTTACGAGGTGAGACGCGAGGCGTTTTCGTATCTGGAGTTGACACCGGTACGTTTTTAGCTCCTTAGTATCCATTAAACCGCACGCAATATCATCAGCGTGTATATTTTCGGAGTTGCGAAGTTTCGTGCAATGCATTTGAAAAATGCGCCTCGGTGAACCTGGAGAAGTGACCTTGCGACCCGGGCTAAAGGCCGTCGTTTGAATTTCACATTAAGTACGATTTGACCTTTTTAGTATGCAGGTACTATTTTATACCTCACCTTATCCTTCCAAAACAAAAATAACATCCGCGGGTGCGAGTGTCTAAATAAGTGCCCTTGACCACGGTTCAAAACAGGGCGCTTTTCACTCATTTGTGACATTCGGAGGCATCCAAATGCGACCTTTGTCTGCTGGCATGCGGCTCCAGTACATTGTCATCACTCAAATTGTCCAAATTGGTACCAGGAGTTAACCTGAGCGTGAAATCCACCAATCACAGCTTTGTGTCAGCTTTGCCTGACTTACTCGTATCAGCTTACTGGATTAATAATCACAGTATCAGCTTTGCCTGACTTACTCGTCACGGTGTACGCAGCCCGAGAGCCGGAGGCTGTTCGTAAAGTTGGACGTAAAGCTGATATGTGCTGACCACCGTAGCACTTGTCAAAATATAAAAAGACATGAAGGTTACGAAGTCAAGTCCGGTTGATCCTGCAGTGCAACAATGCAGCGCCGGCAACGGGCTTCGGCCGCTGGTCGCGAGCGACCCCAGCTGACCCCAGCTGTCCGCATGCTAGGCTTCCAGTGTTGGACCGTTGTGGGACGCGCATGCGTCGGCTTCAGCGGGTCTGGGGGCAGCCTGGGCACAAGCATTTGACGTTGGATCAGTTGCCTAGTGGGCTGCGCAGATGTGATACTCGTTGGAGTACCACAAATCAGAGTGATCGACCACAATATCAGTCCTGCGCGCCCAGCGGGTTTCAAAAGATGTTAGAGGTGTTTTTACGGCTTGCCTCAATGTGGGATACGTTTTGAGTGCTGCGGCCCAAAGAAATATACGCAAGATTTGATCCGTATTCCTCGGAAAAACGTGGAAAAGGTGTCCGCAGACCGCTACGCAGTTTGTGAATTTAGTTGAATGTGCCGACGGTTTTGCAACGGCGTCCGGCAAAAGAAAGTAACTCATCATCATGATAAATGCCCGACCCAAAGGGACAAACCTAAAGAAACATCTGCGGTTGTTTAAGGGAGAGATGACATCAGTTGCGTTTGATGGTGCTATGGATGTCGTGCGATTTTGCCGAAAAATTTCTTTGAGCACGTGTTTTTCAGTATGTGCGTGTTTATAAAACTTTTGGTCAAGCTGATGCGGTGATTTTCCCTTGTGTGAAAAGTAAGAGATTTCTCTAATGGAGGCGCGGTACGATACTACCTGGCCCTGGTGACCGATTACGACGCCCTCGGGCGGTCATTGTGACCCCTGATATCTCAAAAAATAAGAGGGCTAAGAGCACCAAACTGACTGGACAGGAATGAGTATACAAAATCGGTCGTGCCAGTTTTGATATACCTATGTCGTAACCGTGGGGTCAAATAAGGTCAACCTCCAGATCAGTGTCCGAAGCGTCCTCGGACCTCCTAAGGCAACCATCCTTAACCTAGACACCTCATCTAACCAAAAGGTCACTGGTGTCAATAACAGGTCGTTTACTTCACGTTTAGCAGGTACAAATGCCCAAAGCCATTGAAGTCAGTTTGATTTTGAATGCATAATTGGTGCCAAGTACTACCCTACGCGGCACACCCCTGAAAGCAAAAGGGCGGTCAAGGCCATTTCAGATCACTGACCCCCACTGACTATCATGAACGCTAAGTAAATAATCTTTCGGAGTTCTTGTGATCCAGGGATGCGAAATCGGCGTCTAAACTACTCTGTAATGCGAGTTATCCGGTAGCAAAGCGGTTTGGTTGTTACCTTGATTTGACCGTGGTGATGATTTGTAGTCTCAGGACCTGTTGACATCAAACATCATGTGGCGCCCTAACTGGACTTCATACCTGACCTGAGGTCAATGCAATCAATTTGGGTCATAATTACAATCGTCAAATTGGTTAAGACACCATCTCAAAGTTGTATGGCCATGCCAAGCATCCGTTGTTGTATCAATCGAACAATTTCCCAGGAGCTGCCTTCCCCGACTGCGATGACCTGACTTTGACCTGCTATACGCCGGCGACCTTACGAGCTGCATACAATTACATATCTAAAGGTCGGTTATGCAAGTGTTTACATAGCCAAAGTTTGGTGCGGGTGTGCCTCGGCCGTTTGGGAATCCGAGCGCTGCTAGTCTCGCTCCTTCACAGATTTAGGAACGCTCGCTGAATAGTCTTTTTCTTTCCTTCTCATGCCAAAACGGCATGCGAATGCATTAAGGGACGGGGAAGCGAAATGTGAACCAAGAGGGCCTAATCGGCTGTGCCATGGGTCACATTCTCTAAGCCGGGGATATTGCGTCGTTTGCACACAGAAAACCATCACCGGTGCCTGGTTCTGTGTCATAAAAATCAGAGGGCGTGGCTATAGCCGAGACATTCGCCACACGATTTGCTAATTAAGACAATTTCTGGCACTCATAGGCATCACCAGTTTATTCTAACTGGAGTAGGGAAACTTTTGTTCCAACTGCAGTAGGGCAACTGACCAATGTCCATGCATCAGCTATTCAGCGACAGTGGGCGAGCCGCTCGGACGCCTGGGGAAAACCGGGGACAAGTTTAAAGTCATTGGGGAATGGAGAATGGTTCAAATTATCTTCTGTTTTCACGAGCGGGCATCGGGTATCCATACACCTCGGGTAGAACCTGACGTGTTTTGTATTGGTGTTTTTTTGCCGGTTGTCGATCTTTGAACGGGTGGTGTGGTGGCCCCAGCCCTAGCTCGTTGGATGAATTTAGCCTGCGTCAGCAGCATGGCTTGGTGCAAGTATTCAGAAGGCTTTACAATCCGAAAACTTTGTGCATGGTAGTCCAATTTGTAAAGATACCTGGACAGTTAACCATGCATTGGAGCAGGGTGACTCCAGGTAGGCAAGCGCCCAACGCGGTGATATAGAAGTCGAAATTAGTGAAAATTGCCATGTGTTGTGCCAGGCGAAGACTTTTTAGACCCTCGTGCCATCTGGAGGGACAATGTACGAAAGGTATTTTCTGCTAGACAAAAATAGCTGGGAAGAACACATGCGTTGCTCAAAGGATGACCTTTAACCTATGTCGCTAGGTCGCTTTTTCAAGTGCCGTAGCTGGATTTTCGGTTTTTGCGAATCTTCGCAATCGCTAAGACATGCACCATCATAATATTCCGTGTATTTTGATGGGTGCTAGGGCGCAAAGAACGTATCAATGTCAACTCCAGTTATGAAAACGTGTCGGGGAATACCTTAAGACCCATAGTCATGACCTGGCCTGACCTGGTATTAAGTCGTGTGGATTTTATGCATCAGATAGTACCGGTTTTCAGTAAGATCTGGGACATGACCGTATTGGATGACCCCCCTGGTTCTGCGCTGGGTGAGAACGCCTCAGCTGAGGCCAGGATGGTCTGTGGCCAACCAGAAATCGTTGGTAACCAAAACGGGATGCTGATGACCACGCAACATATGTGCGGGAAAGTGCACCTTTCATTAACATAATAAGGCAAAGAAGAGCAAGTTAGCGGTTGTGATCCTCTTATTGAAATATGTAGTTGGCATCCGGTCCACTTTCAAGAAACATGTCTGACTGTAAAAGCGTGCATTTGCAATGGGTTCTCTTCGCGCACAAACCGGTAACAGGTGCAGATTAGGTAGCCTGGATAACAAAGTACTACAAACTCAAATACCACTGTGATGCGAACCGCTTGATGCAAAAGGAATGCAAAAATATCTGTGCGGCCATTGAATAGCCTCAGCAGTTTAGGGTGTCGTGCAACCACAATGGCGACGTTAGCATATTGAGGAATAACACCGAATGGGTATCTCGCATGTTCACCTGCTAGGACCCACTTGTCGGAGGGAAATATTTCCAGTGCAGTTCATACAACTAAATCATCATGCTGAATCCAACCTGACATGAACTGACCTACGGCCCCAGGACACGATGGAGCAGATCGGTGAGGATGCTGACAGCGTCCACAACAAGGGGGAAGCGCGCGGCCAGCAGGCGGAGGAACGGCGTCGTAGAGTTGCCACCAGAGGCGCCACCTCTGGCGGCCGCACGCAGCCCAACGTTGGCCCAGTGACCTCGGATGACCAAGCGGCCACGCCCAGTGCGCCGGCCGCCAGCCCGTGAGTTCAGTTTACCCTGTGCCGATATAAGGCTGTGTGATTTTGCCACCTGCAGGTCTTCTGTTGTGGATTTTACTGCATGTGATACGAACAGCAAGGTACCAGAGGGGCACCAGATTCTGTCTGTTGCTTTCGTTCGCTACGTGCTAGTTGCCTCCACTTCCTTGCGACAATCTATGAATGTTCGGGTGCTGCTAAGAACAGACATAATCTCACTTAAGACATTAAAGATGATGAGCCAATTCAAGATGTTTGAGTTATTTGATTTTGGTACATGCTATGTGCTACATCACGCTATTTTACGCGAAACAAAAGAGCCAACCATTAATGCTCACTGCACCCCGAAATATGGTGTACGGTTTTAACGCGACTTCCCAATGCCCATGCTACGACGTGACGTCACCTCAAGCTGACTGACATGGCCTGCGTGTGACGACCTCACCTGACGCGGTATGACGTCACTCTAGGCCGACTTGCGAGCCGCGCGCCAAGCAGGCGGCCGCGCGGCCGGCGAAGCGACTCCGACCACGACGCGCGCGGCCGGGTAACCAGCAGGTGGGTGTTGCCGGCCCTACTCGTGTGTGTGTGGAATGACTGGGGAGCGGCTCAGCTCCGCCAGTTCTGCGCCATGGCGATGAAGCGATCGGAGCCTGAGGGCCCTGAGCGGCACGGACTCGCACAGCGTCATAGTGCGCCTCCGCCGCGCTTCACGGGGAGAGACTGATACGCCAGACCGTTTCGGCGTGGGGTCTTGGGCTCTGTGGATGAAATGTGAGGTTTTACTGTGCATCTCTGCTCTGAGTAATGCGCTTTCGTCAAATATGCCTGTCACTGAAGCCTCTGCGCATGCTGCGTCGTCCACGGCTGCGCATCGCCACATTCTGTGACATTTGTGACGGTCGCACACTGACGCTCCCGTGCGTGTCGGCTCCAGGGGGGGCACGCATCCTGCGTAGTCGCCAACACGATGGCTTTTACCGCACGCCGGACGGTGACGAGGCCACGGTCCGCCGTTGAACACTGTATCTCTCGTCATTGCCGTACGTGACCGAGCTGATTAGAATGCCGTGAGCTTGTTGCTCGGCGCGTACAGGGAGACCACGTTATCGAAGCCGATCCCCAGGCTGGTCGGATAATAATAACTGGGACGCAGCTAACAGAATTCGCGGTGATCTATATTCATAGACGTACGTGTTGAGGAACGCGGGGGCCGTGCATTTTCAGGCTTCTTGGGCTGTCCGTGGCTGTTTAAAGTCGGTGGTACCAGTCCGTTTCTAAGGCGAAGTCGTCCAGCTCAGTGAATGGCCTGAACTTCGATTGCCCCGCAAGTCGTCTTTGGGATGTTTCCTCTTGCGGGCGGTGCTCACTTGTCCTAGCAAAGGCAGCACGTGCGTGTCTTCACAGTTGTGACCCTGTGGCATCAACACTCGCGCGTGCAGAAGTTCATCATCTTCATCTCGGGCCGCGATAAACCCATAAACCTCAAATGCCACACCATCCATCGCCCAGGTTCAGAGGTCAAGGGCAACAGCCGGCGGTGGACAGAACGTGTTTGATGATTTGCCCACCGAACTACTGCATCGCATTCTCGCCAACCTGCGTCCGCTACAACTGCTGGGACTGGCCCCAGGTATGTTCAGTGGCAGCGCAAGGTGGTAGTCGTCGCGTGCCTGCACGCTCTTCGTAAGTTGCTGTTTTTTCCGGTCTGGTTATCCGTTGCCATCGTCTTCAGTGTAGCCATCCTCCGCAGTGCTGGGTTACCGGCTGTGGTTCGGTTTCCTTGCCAATTTTTTCGCACGGTGTTCTTGAACGGAAGTGTTAAAACTGGACGGTAACCGTGAAGATGATTGGCAAGTATGACGCAAGATGTTTCAGGTTTCGTCGGTGTTGACCAGTTATACTTCATAACAAGGCCCAAACAAGGCTCAGTTACATCAGTTTTGTCCCAGATTTTAACCCAAGGCGCAATTAACACGGAAATGTTGCAGATGTGTGTAAAGTATGATAATAAAAGGATGCCAAGACAATCAATCATTCAGGCTCGCACACCTTAATACCCGATCCGGGGAAGCGTCAGGAACTGCCCGAAACCGACAGCTAAACCGAAAGGTTTTTGTGATCGGCGCCGAGTGTAGGGCGAGAAAGGAACGAACTTCCGGGCTTCAGTACGGAAAGCGATAACTGGTTAGCTATTTCTAGACGTCCGTCACTTCAAAACGCTGTTCATATGAAGATCCAAGCTGACATTTTGTGTAGCTGACTTGCAGCGATCCCAATGTATCGATTTGCGCGTTGCATTTTGCTGGTACTAAAATGCCTATTTTAAGTTTTATTTACTGGAACATAGGGCAGCCATGCACATGCGACTGTCGGCCAGACGGCATCCCTTCAGCGCGCCGAGCCGTCACGGCTGAGCACCCGTCACACGTGCTCGTCCTGTGTACCGCTGCGGCCCGCCGTAGTGTGCTCTGTCGGTGCCGGCAGCGTCGCGCCGCCGCGGTCCGCCGTAGTGTGCTCTGTCGGTGCCGGCAGCGCCGCGCCGCCGCGGTCCGCCGTAGTGTGCTCTGTCGGTGCCGGCAGCGTCGCGCCGCCGCGGTCCGCCGTAGTGTGCTCTGTCGGTGCCGGCAGTGTGGCGCCGCTGCGGTCCGCCGTAGTGTGCTCTGTCGGTGCCGGCAACGTCGCGCCGCCGCGGTCCGCCGTAGTGTGCTCTGTCGGTGCCGGCAGCGTCGCGCCGCCGCGGTCCGCCGTAGTGTGCTCTGTCGGTACCGGCAGCGTCGCGCCGCCGCGGTCCGCCGTAGTGTGCTCTGTCGGTGCCGGCAGCGTCGCGCCGCCGCGGTCCGCCGTAGTGTGCTCTGTCGGTGCCGGCAGCGTCGCGCCGCCGCGGTCCGCCGTAGTGTGCTCTGTCGGTGCCGGCGGCGTCGCGCCGCCGCGGTCCGCCGTAGTGTGCTCTGTCGGTGCCGGCAGCGTCGCGCCGCCGCGGTCCGCCGTAGTGTGCTCTGTCGGTGCCGGCGGCGTCGCGCCGCCGCGGTCCGCCGTAGTGTGCTCTGTCGGTGCCGGCAGCGTCGCGCCGCCGCGGTCCGCCGTAGTGTGCTCTGTCGGTGCCGGCGGCGTCGCGCCGCCGCGGTCCGCCGTAGTGTGCTCTGTCGGTGCCGGCGGCGTCGCGCCGCCGCGGTCCGCCGTAGTGTGCTCTGTCGGTGCCGGCAACGTCGCGCCGCCGCGGTCCGCTGTAGTGTGCTCTGTCGGTGCCGGCAGTGTCGCGCCGCTGCGGCCCGCTGTAGTGTGCTCTGTTGGTGCCGGCAGTGTCGCGCCGCCGCGGTCCGCTGTAGTGTGCTCTGTCGGTGCCGGCAGTGTCGCGCCGCTGGCGCCAGGCAGTGGACGACATCTTGAGCCGCCTGCAGCAGCTGCACCTGACCGAGGACGACATGCGGCATGGCAGCGGCGCGAGCCTGGAGCGGCTGCTGCGCCGCACGCGCTCCCTGCGTCGGCTCAGCACCAACTACCCCAGTCCCAACTTGATGCTGACAGCGCGCGTTGTCTGTGAGTGTGCGGCGATGTCCTGACAGCCCCCGGCCAAGCGGCGTCAAGCAGCCCAGTCAAGGCTCCCGTCCAGGCTTTGAAACAGTCCAGCGGACTCGGCTTGACGCTAGTGTCAGGGTATTACACAGTGTGGCCTGGTGGAAATGCGTCGGTTTGCAGTGGTGATGGTGCTGCCGTGCAACCAAGCAGCAGCGCGCGCGGCATCGCGTCCCTCAAGCAGATTCCAGCGTGCGGAGATACCTGCGTCGTAGTTAGTAACCTTTTCCTATGCACGCGTGCTTGGCTGGTCGTGTACGACGTCCGACCGCAAGTCATGTCATGCCAACACCATAGGCACACGTCCGTCGATTTATGTGGTAAATCGCGCAGTGTACAGTTAGTGATGTACGTCCAGTGCCATGGCGTTCAGGTGCTCCTGCCAGTGCGGTGTATTCCCTGTTGTTCCTTCCAAACAGTCGCGTCTCGCCTGACGCCAACGGCGTGTCCACTCGGTAGCCCACCGACAAGTGACAGACCTGCATAAATGTGTCGTCTGTTGATAGAATTGGAATTCGTCGTCATTGGTGAAATTATGATCTTGTTGCGTTAGTCCTTGTCACCTTGTCATTGGGGACGTTTTGGGAGCGAACGCAAGGCAGACTGATGAGCTTTGTAGCGCGTTGTGAAGCTTACGCAGCGTATCCTTGCAGCCCAGCTGCCCAAACAGCTGACACATATCGACTTGAGATCCTTCGAGATCAACCCCAAAATCATGAGGAGTCTGGGCACCAGGTGCTCTCAGCTGGAGGAAGTCCGGCTGCCGCACACGTGCACGGACGGGTGCGTAGCGGCCCTGCTGCGCCACCTGCCCGCCCTGCGGCGGCTGGAGGCGGTGAACAGCGAGGTGCGCGGCACGGCGTTCTCGCTCCTGCCCGCGTCGCTGGAGTCGCTGAACGTGGACGGGTGTGAGGAGCTGCAGTCGGCCTGCCTGCGCCAGCTGACCCGCTGCCCCGGGCTGCGACAGCTGGACGTGTCGGGCGTGGAGGGGCTGCGTTCGGCGGACCTGGCGGTGGTACTGGACAGCTGTCCGCAGCTGGAGGAGCTGGACGTGGCCTGGTGCGAGGGGCTGAAGTCGACGTGCCTGCGTCAGTTGACCCGCTGTCCTCAGCTGCGGGAGCTGAGCGTCTTGTTTCTGAGTGAGCTTGACGCGGAGGACCTGGCGGCAGGCCTGGCCGGCTGCCCGCAGCTGGAGCGGCTGAGTGTGGCGGGATGTGAGGACCTATCGTCGACCTGCCTGCGTCAGCTGGTCCGCTGTCCCAAGCTGCGGAAGCTGGACGTGACGCGCATGAAGAGCTTGCAGGCGGCAGACCTGGCGGCGGTGCTGGCCGGCTGCCGTCAGCTGGAGTGGCTGTCGGCCGTGGTGCTTCAGCCTCCGCTGGAGCTCTGCCTGCCGCCGGCCGGCCTACCCTCCCTGCGATACCTCGACGTATCCCGCTCCCATGCGGTGACCGACGCGGCACTGCAGGAGCTGCCCGACCTGCTGCCAGGCCTGCACACGCTCAAGCTGGAATGTGAGTGTGCTTTGTATGCGGCGGTTTCAGCGTTCACTCCGGGTATGTACCCTGGACTGTACATTTGCCGCCGGGGTGCGATGTACATGGTGTTTCATTGCAGGGCATGGAGATCTGCCATCAACGCTAGTAAGCTATTTACAACCCAAGCATTCGTGTTGGCGTGTTCGAGATCAGGACGCGTAATGGTTCTAACCATCAGACCTACAAATATGCGCCGAACTGCCCGTGTTCCCGGACGACACTGTCGCCAGCTGAGGTCCCAGACAGACGTGGACCGGCCAGTCCCAATGCACGGCACGCTTACAATGCCCAGCACACCTCTAGAAGTAAACTAACCTATTAAAACTGACTTACATAACCTATGCTAACGCTAACGTATTTAAACTAGGACATATTTTAAAGCAATGGTGTGCAGCACGGAAAGTGCGACTGAAAGCCCCACAGTGATTGCTGAACGGAGGTGATGTCAGGTAATGCTACGCAAAACGCCCTGTGTTAAAAGCGTTCCACGCGTCGTGTACTGTGGTTTGTAGGGTCAAGGTCAGGCCAGGGGCAACGACTGGCGGCGCAGTTCTCCCAAAAGGAAGCGCAGATCCAAGCCTCGGGTCGACCGGCGGTAGAGTCGGGTCACAGGGCTCATTCTCCGCACCGCTCAAATCCCTGAGCCCTGCGCCAGCGAGACGGAAGTGACGCTATTGGAGAAGCCTGTCTTTGTCGTGTCCCTGACGCAAGGAAGCGATCGCGGCCGCCGTGTATCGGGACCGCAACGAAGCTGCGCACACCCGTATGGGCCACGGCATCCGTGGTTCAGCTGCAGCTGACTGTCAGTGTGCGTCGTGTCAGTTCGTCGTGTCAGATCGTCGTGTCAGTTCGTCGTGTCAGATCGTCGTGTCACTTGTGTCGAGCGGCCGCCCGACGCGCGTGTTGCGTGGAACGCCGGGTGACTTCTTGTTCGCCTCAGTGTGTGGCAGGGTGACAGAAGACGGTCTGAGGTGCCTGTCCCGGCTGAAGGAGCTGCGCATGCTCGACCTGTCCCAGCTGGAGTCGGCGACGGACGCCGTTCTGGACGAGCTGCACAGCCCCCGTCTGAGAGAGCTCAACTTGTTCTGCTGCCGCAGTTGTTCCGCAGCTGGTGTCGCACGGTGAGTAACCTCTGTGGGACAAGGTCAAAGGACAAGGGCATGAGGTCAAAATCATCCCAGATCGAAGCATTTTACATGGACTGGACATCATGAGACGCTGTTGATAAATTTGTGCTGTAGCGGACATTCCGTAAGTGACCCAAACTCGGACAGGTTTTATGTGTTACTACTGAATGTGCTTCTCGTTGTCAAGATCAGTTAAGTATTCTACCATCAATGAAACGCGCTGTGACGACCTGGACTGTCCCCGCCGTCTCTGCCCTCGTGGGCACCGTCCTGCCGCGGTCTATGCCAGTCTCCCACACGGTCTGCCCCTCTGGAGCCGAACATGCCACGGAACCGCGCCGGTGCGTGCTGCTCCCAGGCATATGACGTGGTTTCGTGGTCAGCAACGGGTCCCGGACTAGCCAGCTCAGACGGGGCTGTGACGTCACGCCGGGCCCCTACCACGTCATCGGTGTCGTTGGGAGCGCGTGCAGCGGGTGGCAGCAGCCGCTGCTGCAGCGACGGCGGTCTCGGAGTGTGCTGCGGCGGTTTTGCTGGGCATAACTGCAGGCAGCAATGTCGTTTCGCAAAATAGAGTGTGTCTGAGGAAGAGGCTAAACCTGCCTCCTGACCTGAACCTGCCTAAACCTGAGAGGAAGATGGCTAAACCTGCCTCCAAAGCCGCCCCCAAGGTGTGTTTCTCCCAGAATTCGGCCCGTTTCGCGGGGGAGGCCGGGGCCCCGGCAACTTTGTAGGGAATTGCATCCCTGCACGTAAGGTATGTTAGTACTAGTAAGCCTTTCTTGGGACGCATCACGCACCGCGGCACACAACGTTTTGTGGCAACGGCCGGCCCAATGTGCCGTCACAAGTCCACGGTTTACGGTCACGGTTCGTCGGGAGTTCCCTAAAGGCGGACTGAGAAGTACTACTGATAGCAGCGTCGCCAGATGGCAGGTTGACGACGGGTGGCGCAGTGACGGAAGGAATGACGTGCGTGGCACCTTGTAGACCATCTGAGCAACAAGTGAATCGGAAATTGTAAAACAGCGTTGTCGCTACTGTTGGGTACTGCCATATGGTGTGTGCTGTTGACCCTGTTGCGCGTAGTGGTCACGGCTGTGCGTGGCCAAGGCTCGAGGCGGAGCAGTGGCAACCGCTCGATGCTGTCGGATATCCCGCCCATGGTCCGTGTGCGCTTCACTGCAGGCTAGCGCTCCAGGTGTAACGTGCGCTATCTCCCACTGTAGTTTGTTGGCGAGGACGCCCCCGTGCGTATGATTTCCTGCACGAAAGACCCGTCTGCATTGGGGGGCTGGGCGTGGGCTGCACCGTGCTCGACTGTATGCTGGCGGTCTGCTGCAACCCGTGCTGTGCCGTCTGTTACAGGCTGGTGCTCGGCTGTCCCTCGCTGACCCTGCTCGGGTGGCGAGTCAATGATGTGACCCGCACCAGGTCCCTGATCAACAGACTGACGCGCCAGCTGACCCTGGACCGCGACGTCACACTCGAAGTCTGGGGTAGGTGGACGTCGCACGGGCTGCTCTGCTCGGTGTAGACGGAGGGGTGAGCTGGGCGTTTCTCTTCTACGCTAGAGTTGCGCACTGTGCCAGCCCGGCTGTTGATCGTCAGCTGGCATTGCGAGAGGGCGAGCTATCGGCGGTGCACCAAGACAACGGAGTACTCATCCTCCTTTGCAAGCAAATGCATTAGACGATATCTTCATCTCGGCAATCTCAACCCGTACCCGTGCGAGAACTCCGTGCGAGAACTGTTTCGGCAGCAGTGAGAGCGCTGGGTCGTGTTCGATCTCTGCTGTCTTGAGTCTCTTCTCTTCGCGTGCCATAGTTCGGAGCTACGCTGCCGATCTGTTGGTGAGCTTACATAGCTCTTCAATGAGTGACATGTGGGAATGGACTTCGAATACCAAACGCTCCTAAAAACCTATCGGCCTGACTTCGAAACTCTTGATGTGATGCTTCCAGACAATCTAAATCGGAAGTGAACATTTCGATTCGCACAGGTCTAAAATTATGCAGAATCGCATGATCGCTATCGCCCAGGAGGGCGTGCCCTCTTCGAGACGTGAACTGCCAATAGCATGAAGCTTTTATTTACTTGTGAACCTAACATGAATCGACTGGCAGCTGCTCACCGTGTGTGTGTGTGTGTGTGTGTGTGTGTGTGTGTGTGTGCGTGCGTGCGTGCGTGCGTGCGTGCGTGCGTGCGTGCGTGCGTGCGTGCGTGCGTGCGTGCGTGCGTGCGTGCGTGCGTGCGTGCGTGCGTGCGTGCGTGCGTGCGTGCGTGCGTGCGTGTGTGTGTGTGTGTGTGTGTGTGTGTGTGCGTGCGTGCGTGCGTGCGTGCGCGCGTGCGTGCGCGCGTGTGCGCGCATGTGTGTGTGTGTGTGTACGTACGTGCGCGCGCGCGCGTGTGCGTGTGCGAGCCAGCTGGCTTGTGTATTGAGTGGCTGACGTCACGCCCCGCTTCGGCGGCAGATCTGAAGGATGTGCGCCGCCCACGATCCGGCCCGCTCCGGCTGAGGTGACCCCGCACGGAGGGAGCGTCCATGACCGCAGCCCGGTGCGCCGCCCCCGCCTGTCACCGGCCGACCAACGCACGCCGCCGCGCAGCGCCACGTGCGTGCTGCCCGCGCTGCCGCCAGCTCGTGCGGCACGGCCGTGCTGTGTCGGTGCGTGCTGCAGCCATGTGCTGCCAGGGGCAGCTGGCGGGGGAGAGGCGTGTTGAGCAGCGTGTCTGTGCATCCGGAGCTGTGCGGCGGTCAGTTGCTGACTGGCGGCTCGTTGGCGAGGTCTGACTGCGTCCCAGCCGGCCGCCGGTGGAGCGTTTGCACTGGGCCGCCCCCGGTTGGCGGGTGAGCCCGTGGCCGGCCGGTGTTTGGTCCGGACGCTCGTGTCACCGGGCCGTTCGCAGACTGGTCTGCTGTCGCCTGTGCTGGTCTGCTGTCGCCTGTGCTGGTCTGCTGTCGCCTGTGCTGGTCTGCGGGCCACCTTTTGGTCACACGCACGCGGCTACCGTAGCGTATGGTGACGACGTTGATAACATTTGTCATTGCTGTGCTGGAGAAGGTGCCAACTCAGAGTGCTTACTTGCACTCGTGCATCGCGGCGGGAAACTCAAGCAGTGATTTTTTATTTTATTTTATGTGTATTTTCGATTATAGACATGAAGCCAGTGTCCATAATCGAAGCGATGCCAGTGTGTCGTTGGTATGTAGGTAACACGAAAGGAGCGTTTGCTGTGGCCACGCTCTGCCATTCCACGCCATGGGCTGGGTCATAGAGTTACGTCCTTGTACTGCATCGTGTTGTTTGTGGAGCATCTACCAACGGACCGGGTTTCTGTCCTGAGTGACATCCGGCCATCTTCTAGTGGTAGGTACTTTGCTTCGGAGTTTGATGGCTTCGTGTGCGTTCGCAGTTTTTAAGCGCTTCATTTGATACATTTGAATAAACGATTATCGACTTGAAGCCCCGCATCGAAAAGTAACACATTACCATCACCATTCACCCTTGCCAAACGCTGCAGCATACTTTCTCATGACAAACGCCGGTAAGAGCGTAGCCATCTTGTAACTGGACACCAAGCTACTTGAATGTCGTATGGGGTGATGAAATCACGGAAACGGTCCAGTCTGCGCCAAAGTTACTGGGGTCTGTAGTCTGTACCACAGCAGCCTCAGTGCATTCATTGGTAGGTACGCCCAAATGCACCACATGCGTAGTGGTTTAGCAGCTCATCCGCCCTGTATAAATGACATATCGTGCGGTAGCTCGATGCGTTCTCATTCTGTGGTGGCCAGCCCGTCCCCACCTTACCACGGTGAGGTAAGTTGCCACTCGTTTTGTTATTGATCATGAACAGATGTGAGGACAAAGTTGGGTTTGAATATCGTTCAAGTCGGTAGCACCGATCAGTCATTTCCAGCTGCAAATATTACGATCAAATCGTTTCTTATGAGTACCATAACGCATCAGTCTAACCACTAGTACCGGGGTGTTGCCAAAGTTTTCTGCATTATTGCTGACTCGGGAGTCATTTCTCGTAGCTGGATAGTTAAAATGGATACGGTTCGGAGTCTTCGATTGCCACCAGCTAGCGAGAATGCGAAAGTGCGGCTGGTTGACGCGACCCAGGGGCGGATCCCGGATTCTCACACGGCGGGGCGGTTGGTCCCGGGTGCCATTTTCCCCCCGGGTGATTGAAGTGGTCCAGACGGTGACAAAATGGGCATCACCGCAGCAGTAACCTTTTGAGAGTTCACTGAGAGTGAGATCCACTGGCCAGGTGAGGTAAGGCTGAATAATGTATTATCCAAGTGTTAATGCAATAGTGCATTGTCCAAGTGTCAAGTCTTAGCTGAGATGGGCGCTGCATGGCCTTCAGCAGTCGATGCGCCCTAAAACCCCAAATCATCATCATCATCATCAAGTCTTAGCTGAGAATGATGTATACACCTTTCACCGGCGAAAAAATGTCAGACAACGGCGGAATTTCACGATAACTGGGGGTCTCCCAGCTCAAGATTCAAAGAAGCCCGAACGAAAATGCATAATTTGAACACAATGAACTCTGCGTTCTGCCTCTCCGCCGGTGGCCTGGAGCACGTACCGCACCTGGCCGTGTACAGGGTGCGGGTACATTCTGCGCCGTCACGCGCGTGACGCGGCAATGGCGTGCGCTGAGCTACCGCACGCACGTACCGCACGTACCGCACCTGGCCGTGTACAGGGTGCGGGTACATTCTGCGCCGTCACGCGCGTGACGCTGGCAATGGCAAAGCTACACTCGCATGGCGCACCACGTTTGCAGACGAGTTATTCCGGCCAACCAGTTTCGCTCTCGAGATACACCTTGTTTTGCCCGTGGTCATTAACCAACAGCGAGGTGAGTCAGACATTTAGCACTCATTATCAACGCATGACGTCCACATCGCTAAAAACTGTTCAACTCCTAGCAATAATAGCTGTCGCGACATCGGCAGTGATGGATCCAGAGGACGGTAAACACGGGGCCACGGCCCCCACCCTTGAGCCCCGCAGGCGCCCATAAATTCTCAAGCGGGCTGAACAGACGTGGTCTTTTTGACACAAAACACAACCAGGTTAGACATCTTTAGGTTTCCAGACAACCAAGAACAGTCATAAGCGAAAGTGAACGGCCCACGAGCGGACAAATTAATTCTTCGCTGATTAAAGACGTTAAGGGCGGAACTTTTCAGGTCTTTGGCCTGGTGCAACAACCGGTAGGTTTGGTTCGTTACAAGACAGTGGCATCGGATACCTTAGAATACGTCTGAAGCTGAATGACAAACTTAAGCAAGTGTGCTAATTCGGACGAATGCGCCAAAGATCTGAAAAGAATATGCCTAACCAAACCCAGAGCCTGCATACAAAGCTGAATGAAAACAAATTGCGAGCACATGCGGTTTGTACTGGTATGCAAAGATGGCATATGTGTGGACGAACAGTAACGCAGGTCTCCAGCATCCAGGATCGGCTCCGAACCAAGTTGCATGACCTAACGTTTGCGTTTTGCTGGGCGAATTTGTAATCCCCTCACAGATGAAGACATAATTTTGGCCGGAGATGGGCGGATCCAAGTTTCCGTAGCACAATAAGGAAAAGCTTGCTTAGTGGGCTCCAGTCGACACCCGTTAGATCCGTGTTGTTTTTTTAGCTAAATTTTAATTTCACATGCAAATTTAAGTACATAATTTCTAAAAAATGCATTTTCATTGGTAATGCTTAGCACAAAATGTTAGTGATACATGACATTTTTAACTAGTCTGGGCATGTGGAGAGACGTCAGCATGGAGGAGCGCCCCCCCCCCCCCCCGTAGTGAAACAGAGGAACATGGCTTCAAAAGAAAGCAGACAGCGAGGCAATTCTTCGCATCTTAGCGCCCTCAGTGCGTTCAGCACGCCTTTCCCCTGAACCAGTTATTCATCCGGAGCCTAACCAGATGCACCAGAGTCGGTGCTACATGTTGGCCGAGTTTCACACCAGGGCAATCCTGAAGGGGGGGGGGGAGGATGGAACTTTATTCCTCTGTACCTCACATGTTATCACACCACCCCATACGCACAGACAGCGTGACATGTGTGGGACAAAGTAAGCTCCGATAATAATTTTGAGAACATTAGTGTAAAGCTATGTTGAGGTGGCACAGCGATATTATAATTCCGTTGTATTTTTGCACAACTCTGGCGACATACTTCTCCAACGAAAGCGTCTAGTCTACCATCGCAACGGAAAACGTGATGTGCCGTGAATGTGTCATAGCCTATTCATTTGTGATTTTGTTGTTGAAATCAACTTTTTCTTTAAATGTGTTGTTTGTTTGAAAACTTTTACCAATGAAAATGTAGTCAGTTTTGTCTTTGTTTATTTTCAGGGAGTTTGCGCTGAACCAAGCCTAAAGTTCGTAAATTGGCATTTGTAGACGACGTGTTAGTTTGTCGTGACTCTGCTTGTTGCGGGGACCGTGCTCCAGGAGCTGAGCGTCATCTGCATATGGAAGGGGCTTCCACGTTACCGTTGATTGGGCAAGTCGTTTGTGTACAGGGTGAAAAGCAGTGGGCCGAGTATGGATCTGTGGGGCACTCCGCGTGTTACCGATGTGGTTGTCAGTCCTCCATGCACCACCTGCCCCCAGCCATTCAAACCAAGCTCGAGCCGACCAGGGTTCGCGCCGTACCACTGAATCTTTGTTACAAGCAAATCGTGATCGACGCCCGTTCCCATGGCTCAGCTGGTTAGAGCGCCCGCCTTGCGATCCGCCCACCCGTGGCGGGGTGGGTTCGAGTCGCTTTTAGGCGCTCACTGTTTGCCCTTGACAGCTATGGCCTGCGGCCGGTGGCAGCGACCGCGCTTAAGGTCAGGTGTCGTCAGAGGGCAAGACGAGCAGTGAGACGCGGTAAACTTTTGAGACCAGATTCTGCCGTTGTGCTGGCATTGCACGATTGCATTGTAGGACTTAGGGCTCACGCCACAAGCACTGCTCAGTGAGCACTGATCCCAGAAATCCATCCATTCAAAAGGTTCTATGATGTCTTTAAAAGACGGCGTCGAAGGACCTTGGATAGGTGGACAGCTGTTATCAGAGTTATCTCTGGTGACTCTTATGACTGATGCCGTCGACTTTCCTTGCCAGCTCTACGACAGCGTCGCGCGGGGTTTGCTCAGCACAGTGACGTTTCTGGTTTAGGTTAAGTTTCCAGCAGGTTAGGCTGGGCTGATAACACCATTGCCGTGGAGATACGTGTCAGGTGCTCACAAATGACTTTTTCAAGAATATTGGACGGCACGCTTCCGAAAGAAATTGGTCTTTTGTCATCTAGTACGGCTGGGATCCCAGATTTCAGGATGGGTGACATGCGCGCCTATTTTCCACTCGTTTCCATTTATTTCTACTCTTTTCCACTGTTTTCCATTCATTTTCACTCATTTCCACCCGTTGGCAAGACCGAGTCGCCGGGAGCAGTTGGTGACTCGTGAGACATGCGGACCAACTGCAAGCAAGCATCGGCGTCATCGGTACTCCGCTCACACGCACGGCTCTCGAGCACTGCATCCGCCGGATCGACGACGACAGTCCAGGGAGAGAAGAGAGCTTGAGAACGAAGCAGGTCGTGCAGTCTGTCGCCGGTCTGCAGGTGACTGACCAGTGCTGTCTCCCAGTGC